GCATTACGCATATCATCTAAAGGAGTGTTGTTCAAGAATCAGAGTGGCCCAAACACCTCATGTTTGACGATCAAAGACATAAAATATGAACAATAAATAATTATGATAATCATTTTAAGAACAATAGGCCCCTAATGAGGAAAACATTAGAAGGAGATGATAAAGTAAACAAAGATGAGAACACCTCTAACACACACACACACACACACACACACACACACACACACACACACAGATTTGTGGTCAACGTTCTTGGTGCAACAGTGCCTGAGGTGATGGCCACACGTCAGGAGTCGGGATCAAGGAAGAGGTAGAAAATGCCCTCAGCTGAGTTCCAGCAGGCCAGCAAGAGGCTCAGACATTAGAGAGGGAGTGTGAGAGAGGTGGAGAAGGGAAAAGGACAGAAGTAGGGTAATCTGTGAGGATAAGCAGAGCTGCCCTCCTTCCTGTTGAGCTGCGTGTGTTTTGTTTTGGAAACTTGCGCCTTAGCACATGCTGAGCCTACTGACCACACACACATAGACGCATTCACACACAAACACGTCTCAGGAGAAGTGTGGGAAAGCATGAAGTTCTGCAGTTATCACCCAGATGTGTGTGTGTGTTTGCTGCTGATGATAGCATGGCATCAGATTGGAAAACAAAGCACTCTGTCACCATGAATTATTGTCAGCTTTAAAGAGACCATGTTCTGTCTGGCTGTATTTAGACATGAGGAGCAACATAACTATTTTTCATTATTCTCAGATCAACAGAACAAGCTTTTAAGGGAATAGGGTTGAGTAGCGTTCACATTTGAACCGGTTCTGGAACTCTGATGAAAGGTACCTTTTTTCAGTACTTTACTCGCTCTGATATAACAACAATGTAGTTTCACTTTTCACTAAAAGTCCAAATTTGTCAATTCCAACAGTGTTTTTCATTTAGAACATTTTGCACACCACACAAAATACAACCCCACCCATCCCTATAACCCTCCAGCCTGTCATAGTCTGTCTAGTCTGACTCACCGGATGTGGACTGTGAGTGTAAGCCTGCCATTAGCCGTGCACCTCACTAGCCGTTTAGCTCCCCTTCTGCTATTTCTGAACTATCTAGCAAAGGCCCTGTTGCTGCATTCTTTGGCCTCGCCCAATACAATTGTGATTGGTTAAAAAGAAAAACAAACAAGCGAGTGTTTTTGTCCCTATAGTAGAATGATAACTGATGGAGACATTTCTTTTGCGCTGACACAGAGCTGTGGAGATGCTAGGTCTGGCTATGTGAGACTACAGTCTGTCACCAAGGCGTAGCGGGAAAACGCTGTCCTGTGTGTCTTACGTGTTGCCCTGGCCTGCTTTGCATTTCACATAAAAATATTGCAGCGAGCTCTGTCTGTGTCGAGTTTTGAAAAGTGTAACCGCTATTGGCTCAGGCACGGCTCGGCCGCGGCTCATCTAGAGCTTTTTTTCCACTTGACGAGCGATGTTCAGCAAAATTAGTCAGTGAAAATGATCTGTTGATACCTTAGACGATATAAAATATGGACATAGTCTCTGTGACGTCATAGGCTTCTGAGGAGCCATTACCAAGCTAAAAAGGGATGCTCTGGCAGTTGGCACAAATATGGGCAAGAGATGGATTGTCCGTGGAGCTGAAGTGGGACCAGTTGATGCAGAAGAGGAGACAGCTAGCAGTTAGCGACATGCTACGGCACCCACCTGTCAATTTAAGCTGCCACGCCCTTAGTTATGCCTAATTTTAAGCTTGAATATAATTTAAATGGCTGACATGTATACACATTTCCCCCCATACCGTTGTTGTGAACAAGCAAATGAGCTATAGAGACCAAAACCGTTCCTCGTACAAGGCTGTAAACATGTTTATTTCTGCTTTATGTTGGTATTTTTAACACGGGTTCATTGAGATTGATCACTTTTGGAGCCAGCCTCAAGTTGCCATTCAGAGAAATGCAGTTTTTGGCAGTTCAATGTTGGCCTCATTCCCATCACCAGAGATATTCACATCATACCAGCAACATTACATTTTCACTAGAGTTTCAATATAGACATGCATGATTGCCACAAATACTGATGAAAACTAATAACTCAGTAAAATTATTATTTTATTTTTTAGATTTGAATTATTTTTTGAAATACTTTAAAAGCACAAGACCTTCCAAATCAACATTTGACTAAATAAAAAAAGTCTGCGGGCCAAGTTACAAAATGTCGGCTGTGCACGATCAAACGCTTTAAATCGAGCATGAACCTGTCTGCAGTCAACATTCCACTCCAGTTCAGTTGTAAGTGGTGAATGGACTTTCATTTATACAGCGCCTTTTTAGTCTTCCGACCCTTCATATCGCTTTAGCCTACACTCACACTCGCTCCACAGCCTCCTTGTGACTTAGGACAGTAATGATTTGCAGGGGAACCAGACAAATCTGCCAGCTCATGTTTTAACTTCCTCAGCTGTGGTCAGATTTCCAGCTACTTGAGATCTGACATCCAATCACAAACGTTTATCTAATATGGGGCATGTTTGATTGTACAGACTGTACAGAGGAGCACCATTGAGGCATATTAGAAAAACCAAAAGACGGTTGTAGCTTATGTGGAGCTCTCTGTTGTAGCTGCTAAAGCAAAGCCTGATTCGTCTGGTTCCCATTGAGAGTAAAACACTTTTATTTTCAAATTAGAAAGAGCTATATTTATAATAAAAAAATACACTTCTACACATTGGAAAAGAAAGTACGAGGATTGGATTAGGTGCAGCGGATCTTGAGACAATCACTGCCCACAAAATCAGCCAGAACACGAGGTCATCCCACTACCCAGCCTGCTCCGAGCTAATGTCGCTGGAACATGTGAAGGATGAAGTTAGACTCCAAACCAGCAACAGGATTTAAGAGAACAACCTCCAGTACACAGCACTCACTCATCTGGAAAATAACAACACCTACATCAGACGGTTGTTAGTTGATTTCAGCTCAGCCTTCAACAAGTTCTCCTCCATGAAACTGAACATTTAGCACTCTGGACGTGAGTACCTCACTCTGCAACTGGTCATTAGACTTCCTCACAAACCTCCTCCACTCTAGTGTTGAACACTGGAGCCCCCCATGGCCGTGTGCTCAGCCCCCTCCTGTTCATGCTGTACCCCCACGACTGCTACCCCAAACATGAAGAGAACTCTGTTGTGAGCAGATGACACTAGAGTCAACGGTTGGATTACAAACATCAATGAGACTTCATATAGAGAGGATATCAACAACCTACTGCTCAATGTCGGTACAGCCAAGGAGCTGACTGTTGACTTTAGAAAAAAGGAGGTGATATTGATATTGGTGAGAAGAGGAGCATGCGAAGAGCCACAAGGATACACTATATTCCTCTCAGTATTTAATAGTCCTCTATCTCCTCTGCTGAGGGCTTGATCTCTCAGGTTACAGTACTAAACCGTTTTGTATTGATCCTGAATTCAGTTCTCAAATTTGAGCTCTCCTATATATAGGCAGTCAATAGAACCACAGCGATCTGTTGTAACCACACAAACATGCATCACATGATGTATCTGCAAGATTCTCTCTGTGTTTGGGTAAACTTAGTTTCTGAAGTTTGTCTCAGGAATAACACACTTAACACGGCCCTTTGCTCTTCTGTTTATAAGTCTGATTGTAGTCTTAGGTGATCTAGGAAATGATACAAAGTCAACTAATTGTAACTCTAAATGTTGGCTATTGGCAGGCTCACTATAGAATGGGAGTCATCTTACTTCCTTATTGCTTTTGCTGTACATCTTTCCTGTGTTTTGCTGTTTGTTGTCAGTGGTGTTGTTTACACTGTTGTCGTGGCTGCACTGCTTAAACAGTGAGTATAGGCTGGCTGTGTGGGCTATAGCATGACCTTGACTTGCTCTGCTGTTTGCTGCAGAAGCCAGCTCTGCCGCCCTTTGATGGGGGGGGGGGGGGGGGCGCAGTCTGGCACACAGTGAGGCCATTGTGGTCTTGTGCTCTTTTGGCATTCTGAAATAGGGACTGACTGACTTCTACTATCTAACCCTTGAGCGAGTGAGTATGAAAGAGGAGGACTGTCCTGCTCTCCTTCTAGTACTCACTGAGACTGAATGACTGTTGTCTACAGCAGAGACAAGCCGTACTACACACTGCACATTCACTCACAGCGAGCCTGCACCATGAGCACTGCATTATTACAGGATGGAGGGAGAGCAACAAAGGCAACATTATGCGAATGCTTCTGTGCAATGTCAACACGTCGACAACATCATTGTCAAAAAATGGCAACATCTATTGTTTTTGCAGTGTTTGTCCAGACGGTGTGGGTCTGTAAAGATCACCAGCTTATGAAGTATGCAATGAGAATAAACTAAAATGAAAATAGCTGGTGCACCTTAAAGGTCAGTCCATCGTAAGTTAGCCTGGGCCAACCTTGTCGTTGACGTCAGCGGCGAGTTAACCAGTGCTGCCAACTTGGTGATTTTACTTAGGGACTTAATTTCTTAGAAATATCTTAAAAGATATTAAAAGCAACTAGCAACATATTTAGCGACTTATTCAGACAATCAGGGGAATAGCAAGGAATATAACTAAAATACAGTATATCTTGATGAATGCCCATGTGTGCTGCTCAGAGCAATCGCAGTGAACTGGGTTAAAATGTCCCCGAGAAATGACCCGGCTCCCTGCCGATCAAAGGCCATACCTTCCTCAAAAGGGTTCTAGTTTGTGGGGAAGGTTCCTGCTGCGGAAAAGGGGCAACAAAGTGAAACGGTCCCAGACTACAACACTACTGACAACCAAAGCAAGAAGAGCATCTCCTGCACAGTCTGCCCCATTGCAGGCATGTTTTGAGTGCAGGCTGTCCAACGTCAAACAGGACTAACGGATGGTGCACTGAATAGTACTCGCCTTTTCAACCACGTTTCACAAGATGAATATTTCATCTAATTTCATGTCAATGTATCATTATTTGATAATTTCTCTCCTGTTATGTCTGCAGGCTTTCAAAGAGATGCTGTATGCTGCTCAGGACCAGGCCCCATCTATTGAAGGTATTATCTACACACACACACACACAGTAAGGTCTGCTCTATCATTAGGTGGCTGACGACCTCTTAAAAATGGAAGTTGCAATGGACAAGCAAATTAGCAGGAGCCCTATGAATGTGTGTTCTTTTAATGACTTAAAGGTGTTTTTGCAGCCCAGTAAATCCTGTGAGCTTACAATTTAGTGAAAACCATTCCTCAGCTCAAGTGGCGCTGTCATTTCCACATTAAACGTGGAGCGGTCCGTGACTCCTTCCTGGTGGTGCAGCACAGCTCCGTCCTTCACTTTACATTCATTAGCTGTGATGTTTGGAGACAACAGAGAAGACTAAGAATTATCATTGGATGTTCAGCGCTGTAAGAGCCACATACTTGTTTGCAAATAACAAGTAGTTCGCAAAGAATGAACACGATTTGTTTCTCCATAGCCAGACACCACCGACTCTGCTTGTTTGGTTTAACAGGACTCGAAATACCACGTGCATTATGCACAATAGTGCACGGACAATTTGAGCTTTACATGTAATTCTCTGCTGTACATGTTTGAGGGCTGCCAACTCACAAACATTGACCGTGACACACACCTAATTGACGTTTTTCACAAGCTGTCACGCCAGCGTCCATTTTCACACGCAAACAAATTTATATCTGATAATGTTAAACACGGACAAGGGAAATATAACACAGGATGAAGTAAGTTACTCCCACATAGTTCATACAAACTATACTCACCGGCCTTGTGTCTTTTGTACTGTACCGGTCCAACAGTGTCTACGCTGCATGTTTTCAAACTCTTTCTACATGTGGGTGAAGATCTGAAAAAGTTATATCAGCTTTTGTTTACCTTAGAGAGGTGAACAAACAGTAAATATGTGAAAGAATACTCTATTAGGAGTCCATAAACATCCCTTTTTTGAGATATTTTTTTGCTTTCTTAAAATATGTTCCCTTACATTGCCAATAGAGTGAACATTGGTTGAATCATGTTTTGAGTGGAGTATCCCATTCAAATTTGTAATACCGTGTTATAATTCTGTCGCTCCAACAAAAAAACCCGATATAAAATTGAGGTCATTTTGCCCATCGTTATTTAATATGCGACGTCTCAAAAACAGTTTCCACAATAGGTTTGCTGAGAAGCAATGAATTTCTGCTCAAAATGTCAGAATGTTGTAGTCGGGGACCTGAAGTAGTTTGACTGTACTTATGTGTCTTTGTATAAATACACTAACAACAGCCTCAGTATGACCAAAATGTAAGGCCTCAGAAAGTCTAAAGAAGTCCTAAAAGCAGTTATTTGTCATCATGTAATGACAGACCTCTATGTGCCCCAACACACTCACAAAGCAGCGTGACCAGCACAATACGTTTTTTCCTGGTATCTCTCCTTTCATCTTATTTTGGCAAAAGTTGGCAAAAGAGTTTCACCACTAAAGGGGCCTATTTGCAATTCAAATATGACGTAACAGACTGTAAGCTGAGAACATCACGATCAGCCGCACTGCAGGACTGCTGTCCTGCAGCTGAACCATCTCCTAATAACCTCATAGCGCCACAGCTAAGGTTATTATTTGTTATTATTATTTGTCTTCTGTTTTCATGACAGTCTGAGCATGTGAATGCAGCTCTACTGTTCATCAATATAATGCTGTAACTCCGAGATGATGATGGTTACCCAGCGATGTCCAGTAGTCTCCAGTGAGAGCAACAGCTGGTGCTCGTTGTAATGCCGTCGCTTTTGTAGTCCTCTCCTTTTCATACAACTCGTGTATTCTTCTTGTGATGGTGCGTCTTGAGGCTCATACGTGTCGTCATTCGTTGCGATCCTAAAGGTGCGTTCACACCAAACGTGACACGAGCGCACCTTGAGAACGTTCCTCAGACCGACATCTTCCACAACACTAACCGGCTGCAGTTTGTATCCACTTCTCTGTAGCATTTGTTAGCTTGTCTTGCTTCTGTTTATCTATACTTCTCCCACACGCTGCATCCAACGTAGTCCCACGAAGCTCCACCGCTGCCAGTGAGCAACGGACTTTCAAAATAATAATAAAACAAAACCGCGTTAACGCGCGATAACATCATTGTCGGCGTTAATTAAGTAATGCATTAACGCGATAATAACGTGTTAACTTGCCCAACCCTAATTATAATGTATTAATGTAATAATGTAGTGCATTTAAGAAAAATTATTAAATTATAAAATAGCTGTAACTTTGTGATTCTGCAGAGAAGGCCGTGCTGGCCCTGACGGCCCACCACGGAGTCTGAATATTATTACAAGTCCCAGTTAAAACCTGGAATCGTCTCAATATTTTGAATCTTTAGTATTAGTTGCTGGCCATTTTTTACACCGTGGAAACAACATTGTAGTTTTCTATCAATCTGCACACACATCAGTGTTTCCCACTGAATGAGATTCTACTTGTAGCTGACCAGAAGCTGTGTGCTGCTGAACTTGGTGTATACAGGACAGTACCCAGCCCCGCCCACTCCCTCTGTCTCTTTACACACACACACACACACACACACACACACACACACACACACACACATCTAACGAGCAGCAGAATTGCTTGTTGCAGAGAAAAGGCTTCAAATAGACACGTGATGGGATTCTGCTTCAGTGATTGTCCCTCACTGTGAACATTTCAATTTGAGGTCGCTTTAGAGAACATCTGAAGGTGGAAGTAAAGCTAGGAAGTACCGAGACACAGATAGACAATCTGATCTGGTCATTTGTGTATACAGTAAGTGTGAAGTTGGGAGTGCTCTTCAAATTCAAAGACTCCCAGTATCATTCCATTTCCATGGTTTAGCCGCGCTATCTGCTCTGACTTTTCTAGCCCTCAGGAGTTTGACATTTGGGCTTCTGAGTGAAATGTCTCAACGACTATTGAATTGATTGCCATTAAATATGGTACAGGCATTCATGTTCCCTTCAGGATGAATTTAAATAACTGTGCTGACTAATTTGCAGCATGGCCAATGAGTCCAACATAATCCCTATAAATGTCTCTATGTTCTATACAGAAGTCTACAGTCACATGTTGCTATTTATTGTGATTCACAGGTTGTTCCATTCTCATCTTCTGGCTAATGACTAAATCCACCTGACTGTTTGTGCCAACACTGACGCCCATTGTTTTTTTCCCCTTCACTTTATTTTAGGAATTCTTCTGTGACTTCTCTGAAATACGCGGGGAGCAGACTTAGGCGGGCGGACTTTTGTTCCTGATGTATCGACTTAGTAGCATTTGGTTGCGACCAGCTTCAGTGTGTGAGCATACTGAGTTTGGCCAAATGATCCTGCAGTTGGTGATGCAGGGTTTAGAGGAGTAGGCTATATAAACTGATACTGAACTAACTAACGTGATTGTCTGAACTACAGGATTATAGACGCACATTAAGTTGATTAATTAAATGTAAAGTTTCTCTTTTATTTGGGAGGCTTAGCACTGCTTCCTGTACTTAAGGCACACCCTCTTTTATAGCTCATGGACAGTTTCTCATTGTGTGCATGTGTGCGTGCGGGGGCTTGGTAGGGCCCTGGTGAAGGGGGCCTTGTGGCTCTAGGCATGAGCTTCAAAGCACCCCTCGTGGCTTCCTGGGGTCGTGGTGCCCTCTATCCCTGGTCGGGGGAACACGACCTCCTGCTCCAGGCACCACTGTCTGACCCGGGCCAACGGTCCTCAGTGTGTTTCTGTGTCGATTTGTAGAATAGGAAGTCGACCGAGGGGTCGCCAAAGGATCATTCGACTCATCGATTTTCAGGGGCAAGACCTAGAAATTTCCATCTCTGAAATTTCCACTGTGATCAATATTATCTGGAACTACTTTCCACAGAACCAATGGGTCCAAATATAATGTTGACTGCATGTTCTATGCATCACTTTAAAGGTCACTTTAAATACCACACATGAGATTCCATGTATGTCTATTCTATTGGAGTGGATGCAGAGATCTCAAAACCTGGAGAAATGAACAAATCTATTGTAGTGCTGTCCCTCAAACTAGTAAACAGTTCAAGTGAGCCCTGGTGGCTGTTTACCGGCTGGCTGTGTGAATATGTGTAACTGTGTGAGAGTAAAGCAGGGTGTTGCTAAATAATACAGCTAAAAAACATCAATTGTCAAATGGAAAGTATAGCCTATTACCGAGAGACAGACATGTCATAATGATAATAATGATAATAATCATGATGACATGAGCCGAGACACGGAGAGAAAAGAGCCGAATAAGGCCAAAAAAGGATAAGGAGATTACTGTAGTCTGACCGTGGTGGCTGTTTGTGCGCTGGAGGGAGAGAGGGTGTGGGGGGGAGTGAGGGGTGTAGCGGTTGGGACACTCCAATTTAGTTAATTTGGTGTCTTGTCTAAAAGCAGCCAGTCTGAAACTCAGTGAATCACTGAGTTGACAGAGTCTGACTCAAAGCCACCTGCCTGGTCTGCTGTTTGCTTGTTGTTGACGTGACAGTGGGTACAAGTTAGTGGTTGGACCTTTTCAAAGGAAATTACAGGACTCTGGTCTGGTAAAACTGTATAAACAACATTTGACTTAATGGGAGGAACATGAATTCAACTTTCTTACATGGTATTTGGAATACAAGTAAATATAACATTGATATCATCATAATTCTCCAAAACAAAGTGAGAAAAAAAAATGCTGTCACATCACTTGCTGTAACAGTTTTGGAAAACAATCTTAAAACATGGAGAACTTGACCGACCCTGTGCATTTTTCAAAAGATTAGCTTCAAAAAATGTTTTGTCTTAACTGACTTTTTTTCTTATGAACTTCAGATTGTTTGTCTATAAGTGAAGAAGCTGTAAAGAAGACACACAACAGGACCATTGTGCAGCAGTGTACTACTTATTGATTTGATACCGATCAGGTAACATCACAGAGAGAGAGCATTACTGTCTGCTCTTTTGTCTGGATCTGACTGCATGATAATAATATATATCTCACAGAAAACCTTTTTTTACCGGTTATAGTAGATAGAGGTGACGGCTTCCTTATTTTCAAGTATCCCACTAAAGGCCCCTTTACACTGCGCAATTCTGGTCTGTCTGAGATGAAAATGACCAATCATGAGAGAAACATGGTCCTAGATGCAGTGGGACACATCCACCAAAAGCCCATTTGGAGCTGTGGTGACCAAAGACAGCCTGTTGCAATATTTCTGATGAATTCTCACAATGTGAGGCTGCTACAAACACCAACCAATCGGAATACGATACTGGCTGGTGAGAAAAACAACACACTAACTAAAATGATGGAGGTGAAACAAAATAGCAGCACTATGGCCAAGGCTTGTTTTTATGTATTGCTGTATTTCAAAGCAAGAGAGTAAATTAGTGAAGCTAATGTAGCAACATTGGTGCAACACAATTCACCACGCATTGATTGTACAGTGTGAAAAGCTCAAACTGCCATACAGTCTGATATAGATTGCAACACAGTGTGACGTGCAGTAAGCATACACACTTGTTGTTGTAACACAGTCTAAAGCCATCTTTTTGGGTCATTAAACTTCATCTTTATATGAATCATCATGTACATCCATGAAATGTGACCTCTGCATGTATCCCATCCTAACCATTTTAGGAGCAGTGGGCTGCTGTAAAGCGCCCGGGTTCCGGCTCACGCTCAAGGACACGATCCAACCGCTGCTTCTATGTCAGGATAACAAATCATGTGCAAAGAAGTTGACATTTTATGTGTTGGCATCTCCAGACTATATTATGTGGCTGTAGTCAATGAAAAACACACAGTGTAGTATTTACAGTTCTTTATAAAAAGGTCGTATGTGAACTGCATTACTTTTGATCTGTATACATTAGAAGGATGAACATTCCAGTCCTAAGATGAGGGTTCAAATTCAACTGTTCATAGAAACAACAGAACCGAGCTTTTGAAGACTGTTGTCCGAGATGGACGCCCGGCTGCTGTCTCACTGCTCCTCCTGCTGGTCAGAGCAGGACATTACGGGGCTTTGATGCACAAAACATGGAATTCTACATTCACACACTCTTCCATCCCCATTTGTCTTTTGTTCTGCCTTTGCTGTCCTTTATTCCCTTCTCTTCATTTTTGATCTGCATTCAGGTGGTTTAATCAATGTCCTGAGACAAAGAGTCTTCACTCTGTTCATGAAGGGTCACTAATCTAACAACTCCTATCTTCTTGCAGTCACAGATGAGGATACAGTTAAGAGGTACTATGCCAAGTTTGAGGAGAAGTTCTTCCAGGCATGTGAAAAAGAGCTGGCCAAGATCAACACCTTCTACTCTGGTAATGACTACAACTACCACCACTGCTCTATGCACTCACAGTCATCGACGTTAGAGCTAGTTATCACTCATTTAGATGTAGCTCTGACAGTTCGTTGTGCTCATTATCCTCAGAGGCTTTCTTTCTTTGACCTCGCCTTTGTCTCTTTTCCTCCAGAAAAGCTGGCTGAGGCTCAGCGGCGATTCGCCACGCTGCAGAACGAGCTGCAGTCATCGTTGGACGCCCAGAGGGAGAGCTGGGCTAACGGGCGGAGCCTGAGGAAGAGGAAGACTGTGTTCGCCCTGTCGCAGCAGGAGCGATGCAAACACAGAAACATAAAGGACCTGCAGCTGGCCTTCTCCGAGTTCTACCTCAGCCTCATACTGCTGCAGAACTACCAGGTGCATATTATTCACACACTCAAACTTCATCTGACAGTAGATGTGCACACAAAGAAAACACAAAGGTCTGAAGTTGTAATTCTAAAATCGATCGAAATGAGCTTTCGATTTCAACCTTCGAAGTCAAAAGCAGGATCAGCGATGTGGAGCTCCCAGTGTTATTTTTCTCTCAAAAATTGTGACACCCCTAATGAAGACCATTTATTTAGTTTTATTAGTTTATTTCACAAATATAAAACAAGAACTGGAAATCAGCCAGTTGGTGTGTATATGTATATATATATATGTATATATATGTGTATATGTATGTATGTGTGTATATATATATGTGTATATGTATGTGTGTGTGTGTGTGTGTGTGTATCTATATGTATATATATGTATATGTATATATATATATATATGTATGTATGTATGTATGTATGTATGTATGTATGTAT